CACTGGCCTGTTCCTTCTTGTCCCCCAAGCCTTACAGATACACTCACGTGCCAAGATCGAGGCACCGTTGTGTGCAAGGAGCTCCAAGAGGTTAAAGCTTTTTGTGGGTTTATCTGAGCCAAATATATCAGAAGACAAGGACAACAAAATTTCCCTGTGAACTTGAGGGGATTGGGATACGAGGCTGTTACACTCTGTGTCCGGATTGCTGCCTCTCCTCTGTCTTTATGGCACGGCACGTTTCTTGCAGTTTTACTACTCCAGAAGGTCCAGAAGGTTTGAAGGACGTTTTGAACCAGGAGTTTCTGACATGGCTGATGTCAACTGATCTCTGCAGACCAACGTGAGTGGCTCTTCCACCTATTCCTGTTGTTACAAGCGTCCCTACAAATCCTTTCCCAGCCCTTGACTCCAAAGGTACTTGCAGTGCTCAATCCATGAATTTTGGGTTTCTGGAGTTAACCACTGGGTGCTTACACGGCACAGCTCAGCTGGATTTGACTGGAGAGTTAAGAGCTCTGGCCGGAGTTAAGTTCTGCGAAAGTATCTTCAGATCATTGACACAACACAGATGTATCCCTCAGATGGGAGAAGACGAATTTCAAAAATGTACTGTCTAGGGAAGGGAGGTTGCCCTCTTTTTCATGAGAAAAGGAGGTGTTCATCAAACCACTTACAGGAATTGCTTTTTTCTGGGCATTCTGAGAAAAATACAACAAGGAACTGGGATGCAAAAGGTGCAGGGGAGAGCCCTGAGGAGGCTCAAGGGAATGGCAAGCCCATCCTATGCTCAGTTGAGTAAAATGAAGGCTGAAAGAGACAAAGTCACCATCTATAAAAAAAACAGTGAGAAAAGAGCTGTTTATGCTAATGGGAAAAGTTGGCATAAGAACAAAAAGGGATGAACTGGCCATGAATAAATGTAGGTTGGAAATAAGAGGCAGCTCTGTCCTGCAGACAATTCCATGGAGCTTGGTCAGACAATGTGAGCCGAGTGGCCAGAGAAAACAAATAACTGTTGAGCTCATACCACAGCCTTTCCTGCAGAGAAACACTTATTTGCATTTCTTTCCTCTGACCAGTTGCTGATTTTTCTCAAAACTTGTAGACATTTACTGTTAGCAAGACGTGTATCAAACTTAGAATCTATCAAAACGGGTTTGTACGGTGTCAGAGGAGGCTGGAGGGTAGGGAAGGCAGCAACTTACACCTTGTTTCCTGTAGGAACCAAATGAAAATGGGATAAATGCAGTACCACAGGAATTTATGCTTTTCTCTCCCTCCTCTGCTTTGTTAGGACTGTGTAACTCCAGGACCTTCCCGAGGAGCTCCCTCTTCATCCTATCAAGGCACACAAGAAGGAGGAAGCTGTCTTACATTCACTCTGTTCTGTGCATATTGTCTATTTTGCCAACGCAACCAATAAAGAGTTTATTCTGAAGCTGAAATAAGATTCAGATGAAACTTGATTTGGGGATGGACTATAAAATATTATTAAATTGCTAAAAAAAAAAGTCCCCTTCCAAATGAAGCTTGTGAGTCAAAACCCACCTCGTGTCACTGAACCGTAAGACAGATCCTGACCACAGGTTTTCGGGAGTTTAGGACCTGACACCGGGCGACGACTGAAAAAACGACGTTGGCACCAGCGGTGGGTGGTGAAGTTCAGCTCGGGCTGCAGGAAAAAC